CCCCCTCGGCCGGCGCGTATGTAGAAAACCAATAGGTCCGGCGAGGGTTAACCCGCGCCCCGTTGGGGTCTACCGAGCAACGCCAGCAACGTTGGGGGGGGGGGCATTTTGGCCCCGTAAGATCTCGAGAACCACGCAACTTAGCGACAAGCAGCAAACGGTGTTCGATAGCCCCAATGGGGCCTCCCTTGTGATCAAACTTCAATGACCTCGGTCAAATCGATGACGTCACAGGTCAGGTCAAAGGTCGAATTTTCGCCGTTTCAAAATGTGTTTCAAGAAAAATGTGTTGCATTTCAAGAAACGTGTTGTAATATCGAGTAAAATACATAACATTGCAAACCATCGATAGGAAATTGTTCGTGAAACACGTATTTTTCTATACCTATGTGGTCACTGATACCAGGTCAGGTCACAGAGGTCAGGTCACCGAGGGTCACAATATGAAAATATCACGTGATGCATGTTTTATGGTCCATTTTACATGACAAATGCGATAATGTGGGTCACGCAGCCTTTGGGGCCAGTTAACCCGCGCCCTGCTGGGGGGGGGGTGTTTGAACACCCCCCCCCTTGTGGTTTTTCGCGAATATCTCAAAAACGGCGGCGCGGAGCGCCGCCGTTTTTGGTACACCTTATCATACATCAATTCTACACATGTTGTGAAAATTTCAGACCAAGGTCATTCAAGGTCAGGTCACCAGGTCACTTGAAGTGACCTCACCTCATAAAAAGTTTCAATGTCTGTCATAGCTACACCGAGTGACCGATCCCTTTGAAACTTTCAGCGATTGCTAAGAGCAATAGCATGTACAAAATGTATATCTCAGAATTTTGATATCGATGACCTAAGGTCAGGTCAATTTTGCGACCTCCCCATTATAAGTCAATGGGAGAAAATTGAAATGCGCCTCTTTTGGACGAAAGACATTATAAACACTCCCAAACACTGAATTACAAGTGGTTTAGACACACTGAACATGAAAATGGTGTCCGTGACCCCTGTTTATGCCCTGAGGTCATCTTAGGTCACGAATGGTATCTAACAGTTTTTCGCAAATAGGGGAGATCCGTGTAAGACGCCCAGGGTCGGTAAGAGGCCCCATCGCTTTTTTTACCAAACCAATAATGTTATTTATTTTTTAATGTTCTTGTAAAGCAGAAGCCCTCTTGAAACAACAACTCACGAAACCTGAGGTATCAGGTGCGTCGCAGCGACTTTTGGTAAGCCTGTTTCTGTTTTTGCCCCTTTACTTGCTAGATATATGCATCTTTATCACCCTTATATATCTGAAAAAACAATGGCTATCAAATGCAATCTTATCTCATCGAAATTGTCACATGTTAGCTTCAGAATAGACCATGTTCTGGTGCGCTGCAAATGTCTGATAAACCATAAATATTGTGGACGTTAAAACACTGCATTTTTTTAAGAGGCCCTCCCTTCGAGGATGATAAAACGCCCCCCGATAAAAAAACGCCCCCGATGCTAAAACGCCTGCACCTGCGGCAGGCGTGACATTCTTTTTTCAAGGAGTTTGTTTTTGTTTCTTTTTTCTGTTTCTTTTCTTAGAGGTAATAGGTACAATTTTCGTTGGTCATCAGCGTTTGGTTGTGCTAGTTTTCGCATTGTTCGAGCGCTTTGGAAGTGTTATTGGTTTCGATAACACCGTATTTGCTTAGCTTTTCGAAATAAAAGGCCTTGCAGCTGTGTTCGCAAAGCGTCTTTTACAAGTCGACTTGACTTGTAAAACGCCCGAGGGGGGGGGGGCGTCTTACCATACCCATAGTGTAAGAGGCCCTTTTGCAACTTTTTCCAAAATGTTAAAGTTTACGGTTTGTGTACCCCTAGATTCATTTTGAATGCAAATATGTATGGGAAAATGATGCATGCTCACAGCGCATGCACACGTTAGCTCTTAAATATTATCAGTTGTCTAAAAATGGCAACTGAGCTTAAGGGGGGGCCTCCTGCACCACTCTCCCCTAACTTTTGATAGAG